TCATCTCGGATTCATCGTACTTCGACCTTTCGGGACTTTTTAGGCACAATACGCCAGGTCGGTGGTAGGCGTTTTTAGGGCGTCGGGATGGTCTGGTCCGAGAACATTCTCGCGTCCCTCCAGTACACGCCGATGCATCGTCTCTGATTCCACGTACTTTCCTTGTCTCCCAAGCACGATAGCCAGGCTGTTGGCACTTGTTAAGGTGTCTGGGTGGTCTGGTCCGAGAACCTTGCCACGCACCTCGAGTGCATGCCGATTCATGGTCTCTGATTCGTCGTACTTTCCGAGATCAGTCATCACACTTGCCAGGTAGGATAAGCACTCCAAGGCGTCAGAATTGTTTGGACCTAATAACCCCCCAAGATCCTCTAGTACATTCCGGAGTATCTTCTCCGCCTCCTTTCCCCTTCCTTGGTGTGCCCTGACCCGCCCGAGGAGCATAAATCTCCTATGACCTTTATCCAAGACCGGCCCCTTGCTCTTCTCGTCAAATCTAATGCATCGACTGACCTGTGCTTCTGCATTGTTGTAGGAACCCAAATGTAGAAAGTACTCAGCCATGCGAAAACAAAGATCTTCAGCAATGATACCAATTCTACCTTTGGTCACCGCAAGTGCATGTGGAATGTATGCCTCGCAAATATTCCGGAGCTCATGCTTATATATAGGAAAAATTCGGGAAACCACCCCTAGTGCGGCAACACCCCATTTATCCAACTCTTCTGGTGATAGGTAGGCATGTATCGATATCTGGATTAAGCGATGAAGCTCATAGAAGGTCCCACCGTCACTTTTTGTGGCCGTAACCAATGAGAATCCCACCAGTTTGGCAATCGCCCGACGAAATTGAATCGAGTCATCCATCCCTGCAACTCCAGATTCTCGCAGAAGCTGCTCGGGTATATTCTGACGATCAAAGAACGCGATTAGGCGCAGGAGATCCCCGGCCGTTGGCATCTGTTTCGTAATTCGGTCGAAGGTGATGAAGTATGTGCTCAAAATACTTTCCGTCATGTCAGACTCTCGACGGACATCGCTAAACTGCTCTAAAAGTAGTTCCTTCATCCGCTTATGGTTCTCCTGGAAAATGGTCCAGTACTCGGAGGGGGTTGTTTCGGTCTCGACCATGAAAGCTGCTGTACCTACGACAGCCAGCGGCAAGTGATCCACCGAGCCTAGGATCATGGAAACTACCTCTCTTTCCCCACTCCCCAACCCACCCCAGCCGCCAAAGTGCTTCGAAAATAACTCTCGAGCCTCCTCCTCCTCCATTTTTCCCACATCAATCCTCTCGCACTCCTGGCGAAGTGCAACCTGGCGAGATCTAGTGGTGAATATGAGAGTACCCCTGGGTCCTTGCGGTACGAACTTAGCAATAGGACTCTTATTGCCAGCGAAGTCCTCGTCGTTATCGGCGTTGTCAATAACCACGATCCAATCACCACTTTCCGGACCTTCAAACCACCTCTTGATGCTCAATAGGAATCCCTCTTCTTCCGTCTCAGCGCTCGCTAGAGGAATTCGAATACGTTGGGCAATAGCCCTATATCCCTCCCTATACTGTAACACACCACTTCCTTGCACCCAGAAAATATTACAGTTGCTCTCGCTTGCACACTGATAGACGTACTCCAGGGCAATCTGAGTTTTCCTAAGCAACGTTAGTAAACCCTTTGCATACCTAATTAGTGAATACATACCCAGAGCCTCCTAATCCATGAAGAGCAATCCGGTTGTGGCCATTAGGCTTGCAAAGCCTCTTCACCGAGTCTATGAGATGTTCGCGGCCAGTGAATTTTCTATTCCTACTGTAGGGAATTATCCGATAAGGCCCAGATGCTTCTTGTAGTCACAGCAGCACGTTAGCTCTCTGTCGGAAAGTTCACGGGAATTCGGATCATACCTCTGTCCCCATATCTAAACATGCATCCTTGATATATTGTTCCGAGATTGGTAGCACTGTTCAAGTAACCCAGATTTGGATTGTTGTTGTTCGCGTTGCTACTACCAGACACATTACAGTCCCCTGAGTTCCCGCTGAATTGCCCGCTGATATCGGCTGGGATCCTCCTGCGAATATCCTTAGATGAGTGCTTTTTTTTTTTCACTAGGCAAATATTAAAGGGAGGGCGGACGTACTGATCCATCGTGTTTTTGGCTTGCCCTAGTGCTGCTTTCGAGGGTCGGGTATGAAAGTAATAAGATATCGCTAGCCGAGCGGAAACGGAAGGTTAGCCTGATTTTCGCCTATCGAGGTAGTTCAAGATCGTTTAGCGAGGCCTCGAAACAAGTCAATAACCGAGATAACACGGTAGAACGCGCAATCACTCACCAGACCTTGGATATGGTGGTTCTCGATTCTGTAACTTTGAGGCAGCGATGGGTTATAATCCTAGCTAGGGTAGTACTGTGGTGCTTCAGTGGAGGCTGAGCGGTTGGCATGAGGGTTTTGGGTGGGAGTTACGGTAGAGCAACAGCGTCTTGGGGCAGGGGGGAAGGTTGGAATTCAAACCTCAGAAGTGTACAGTCTTCCCCGCTCTTGGTGAGACGGGAGAGAAGCAAACATGCGCCTCTTCCACACCTCATCATGGCACTTCAAGTGTGCGCAGTGTAGCCCTGCCATGGGCCATTGGCTTAACCTGGTCACAGCTCGGGTGGTGACCTGTGATTGGTGCATGCCTTGCGGCGCCATACGAGACATGAGATGGCACCGATATTTGGGACGGCGAAAAATTTCCTCGATCCTCCAGCAACGGTGGGTGCATTTTGGAACACACCATCAGAATATTTTTTACAGAATACCGGTATACTCGTACTTGTACCGCACAGTGCCTTTGAACCCATTAAATGATTCCGATATGCGAATACCGGTAGTGTTGCTCTGCCGACCCCTCAAGGGGGCCCTAACCTGCCACCCTCTTCCCCTTTCGATAAAAGGGTCCCCTGGCTTCCGGGCGAATCACTCACATGATCTTGCCGGAAACTTGATCAAGCCATCGAGTTCAGAATTAGTGCATAAAACCACGAAAGTTGACACACAACAAGTACCGGTGTGGAAGTGTCTCTTCGACACCAGGGACTGGATGGTGGTTTTGACCAGGCTGCGCGTGTGGGATATGACTACTGAGACTGCTGAATAGCCACCCTGCAAAACCGTAGGGGGGGGCAGAGATGGGGGTTGGCGTTTGTGAAATATGACCGATAGTCAGTATCTACCGGTGTGGTGCGTGGTGGTTGTCGCTCGTATTTAACCAAGAGGGGAAGAGCCAGACTATTTGAAGAAAACCCCAGTCTGCCAAGATCTCCCCAGAGAGGAAATATTTTACCGCTATTGGTAAAACCCCTATCGAACATGACAAAAAGCATTCAAAGCTCTACCGGTATTTCCTCCACACCGGTACCCCTTCGGCGTAGCGAGAATACCCTGGTAATGCCATGTCCACATGTCCGAAATTCCGTGCTTGCATCTGCGCGCATATGCACCTTAAACATTTCTGGGGGATGCAAATGGCCCGAGCGGCACTCAATGCCTCCCGAGGCTGACGCTAAAAATGGTATCATATCATAAGCGAGCTGCATGCAGTGGTAACCCGAACCCTATTACCACTCACCACCCCGGAGCGCGTTGCTTGGAAGTTGTTTCGTTGGCTAATACGAGTAGTGCACAACTAACTATATTTCTGAGCCTTTCGAATCTAGGGGCACGACAGCCCAAATTTTAGAAGACTTAGGGGTCGTTTGGCCTGGCGCGATTGAGATTTTTCAAATCATCTTTCCTGTGATCAGAAGCCGCATATTAAAGCTTGCTCGTAGCATCTGTTGGATTGCCTATCTGGTACCTTTAGGCGGTTAGGTGGTGTGGTCTAGGTTTTGTAGCTTTTTTGTATGATAGCTTTCACTGGTGGGGTTGATAGGTCCTAGGGTTTTTGGTTTTGTTAAAGACCGCCCTTTGCATCTCTGCGATTACTTGTCGGGTGCTGGTATGCGGTTAGGGGATGTGCGGATGTGGGGTATGTGGCTTTCGGGTGCGGGGCGAGTACTCGAGTATGCATAGGCCCTGGTTTTTTTTGCTTGCGCATCCTAGGTTGGTAGGGTACAGGGTATAGGTTTGGTTTTGTTGATACATGTTGGGGGTACGGAATCGGGTACGTGCATTTGCTTTGTTTATTCCATACCCTACTGGAATGCCATTAGGTATAGGGTAAATGGTTTGAGGTACCATAGAGGAGCAGAGCACATCCGGAGAGCCCTGTATTGCTGCAGTACCGCCGAGGACCGTAACTCAGAAGGAGGGTGCGCTTGTTCAGACTTCACGGAGCCCCACTGAGCTCCGGAGTTATTAGCTGTTTGGATGTGTATGATCTCTAGTTCACGGCTTTATTATTTAGTGACTTTCTTTGGTTTTATTGGCATATCACCGGTCTTAAAAAATGATTGCAAGGTCTAGGCCGAATAACCTATGGTAATTCTATTTTACTCAGATATGGAAATGGGAGGCCAGACGGCTGTGAAAACAGGGAGGCCTGAGCTTACTGGCACCATAGGAAATGAAAGAAACCAACTGGGCATGGAAATTTCCCAGACGAGCAAGAAGCTTTGGGATGACACCCCGGGTCCCCGGATATCCGATCACCTACATTTACACTTGAGCGCAACAGGATGACGGGGGATGTCACTACTGTACTGGCGGATGGGGATGGGTGGAGATAGGTCACCAGGGAACATTACCCGGGAACGGATCCAAGAGTGATTTACATTGTCCAAGAAAACACCGCAACCTTTGAACACCGAGCAGAGAGAAATGACCAATGCTGACAGCGTAGGGAAAGGCTAAAGGCGGCACAGTCGTGGCCAATTTATAAAAAAGCGATGTGGGACAAAAAGGAAGGGGCGCCAGAAGCAGGAGGGTCTGCTCATACGTAGTATCATAAAGGTTCGCGGAATCCAGTGTTTAAAAGACGGGAGAGAGATATCTGGTTTTTAGAAGAATCTCAAGAAGAGGGATAAAGGAAGTTAGGAACAACGGATGGGTGAGGAGAAAATGAAGATAAGCGATCTGGTTTAAACTAAAAGGTAAAAAGCGAAAAATGGGTCCTTTTTCTCCTTCACCCAACATAGCGACCGGACTTCCAGAGTACTTCAAATTCGGCCTCCCTATCTCACCACAAAAAACTCCCGTTATCGCGGGATTCACGGTTCGCCTAAATTACTGCCACGGACGATCAAGCCAAAGAGTGGGGTGCTGGTAGAAACACGGGCTAGGTAAGACCGTCGTCGGGCCTGTTAAGGATTTGCGGGTGGGAGGACTTAGCCCGAGGATAAGGGTATGGCTGAGGAGCAGAGCGCAGCAGAACCGAGTCCACGGGGTACACTACTATGGACCAATGTCGGGTGTCAGTGCAGGTTGTAGGAAATGGATAGACGGCCCAATCGGTGATACACCGCAATATCTAGTGAGAACCGTCGGGGGTTAAGTATGTTCAAATAAGACTTTTATCCGTGCTTTGTCTCGCAAATGCAATAAAATGCCACACCCTAACCCCCTATCCAGGGCCAAACCTTCCGCGGCTCTGATTTCGGCGCGATGGTAAGTTTCACCGAGCCGCTTCTTATTTCATCGTCAAGGCGTCTGCGGTTCTCACCAGATAATGCGATAGTGTAGTCAGAGGTCGGCGGTGTTTAGTAATCGCGGTTTCTGTCGAGGCCCATGGGTTGGATAGGTTCATGGGTGCTGACCAAGAAAACCAAAAAGAATTGGTGCATATTTTTCTTAGCCATCGAGTTAAGATCGATTAACTTTTGTGAGGTGAAAGCCCTCGGAGGTTTGGCAATCATCCATTATCACTCGGAAGAGTGTGGATATTTTTGTTGAAATAATGGCTTCAATGTGACGGAAGCATACTTGGTTAGGCATAGTGGATGCTCGCTCATTACTACTGTATATAGATACCTCTCTGAGGTATAAGTACCATCATCTTGTACCCAAGTAATGCAGTACAAGAGATAATAGACAAGTCTTCTCCTTATTCCAAAAGGTCTACACTTCTCCACTGAACTTCTACTACCACCGTACACCTCACATACGAGATATTCCGACAGGTTATGAGCCCGGTCTCATATACCTAACAGTTTACCAAAATCTCATACTTCTTCTCTCTTCCCTAATACTGAGAAACTCTATGTCTATGCTAGGCATGAATGATACAACACCTCTCTCGAGAGATCGATACCGCTGTAAGTTTGGCGAGATCAACAAACTAAATTCCAACAACTATACACATTGGGCACGCAATGTTCGTGCCTTCATGCGGGGAGAGGACTGCCTCAAAATTGTTCTGCGAGAGGAGGAAGAGCCAGCTCTCAACAACTATACTCGGTGGAAGGAGTTTCAGAGCAGAAAGGGAGCAGCATATGCCTTAATTTTTGCCTCCTGTACCCCTGAGATTCAGGAGTACATTAGCGATATCGATGACCCAGCCGATATGTGGGAAAAGCTGCATGAGAAGCTTGACGGTGCCACTTCTCGTGCAGGTAGAACTATGATGGCAAGACAGTTCAACCAGTCAAAGCCAGAAGCCAATCAGCCAATTCAATTTTACATTGCGAAGCTACTTCAGTATCGACGCCATCTAGCAGGAACCGAGCAAACTATATCAGATAAGGCCTTTTCATCCCACCTAATCTCTACCCGACCTGCGAGTTTCAACAGTTTCGTTAATATTGTCCTCCATCAGCCTGAAGGTTATACTGTGGAAAATTTCATTTCCAAAGTAGTAGAAGCAGAAGCCACTCTAGAAACGA